TTGGATTCACCCAGGAGAGCAGCCCTGAGAGTGCAGCGGAGCCTAGGAAAAGGAAGGGCCCCTTTCCTCCGAGAACTCAGGGAGGCTGCAGCTCTGAGAGTTCACACCCCAGCGCTGCCACTCCCCAGTTCTGCATCCCGGCCTCAGTCTTCACGGCTGCAACGTGGGGGCAGTGCTTTTGGTCAGAGGATTGTTGTAAAAGGTGCCCAGCACCATGCTTAGTGTGCCAGTGTGCCCGTCCGCTCTCAGGTGGGGATGCGTTTCATGGTGGGGAGACTTGAGGATATTCCTGTCTGATGGCCTCTCCAGACTGAGGTGTCGCTTGCCGGTTGGTTGCAGGGAGGCTGAGGACACGGGAACAGGCTTGGGGTGGGTGGGCGGGAGGGGGAGGGCGCTGTGAGGGCGGAGGCCGTCACTTCACAGTGGGCAGGAGCGTGGATCCGTCTCAGGCACATTTGGGTCCCCAGGACCTGAAGGCAGGAAGAAGGTTGAGCTGTTGTTTGCTTTCTCAGGTGTGGGGGACTGGTCAGATTTGGAGGTTGATCGGTCGGCAAGCATTTACGGAGGAGGCCCCCGTGTGTGGGACATCAAGGGAACGGAGGGGAGGGATCTGACAGCGCTGGCCCTCCTGGAGCTTGGTCTGGCGGGGGAGATGGAGGGGCGAACTGGAGCGCGGGGCCATCCTGCTGTGACCTAAGCAGGTGCAACAAGCAGTGGGCACACAAGCGAGGGGGGGAGTCTAGTTCTGTGTGGCGCAAGAGGAGGCAGGAAGATACAACCAGAGAGAAATGTACTGGGAGCGTGTTAGGAGCTCCCAGAATCAAGGGAGGAGGCTGGGGAACCATGCAGGAATCTAGATGTTTCCAGAAGGCCAGGCAGCGGGAACTTTAAGGACAGTTCAGAGCAGGAGGAGGCTGATCAGACACGCTACTGAGGGGGCGCATGAACTCATTTTCAGGCTCTGTGTAACACTGTTCAAGAACCCAGTGCTCAATTGGCCTGGCATGAGTCTAATGCTCTTCTTGTGGCTGGGTGAGATGGAGCTGCTGGTGACAGTTTCAGCAGGCCAAACTCCAGGGGAAGAAGTCACCTCTTAAAAAGAAGTTAGGGTTTGTATGCGGGGGCGGGGGGGGGAGTGTCATTAGGAAGAACCACGAATGCCAACTGCAGGGTGAGTCAGAGTCCAGTTGCGGGATGGGGCCAGTGTTCTAGGCTGCACCTGCCATGGCCTCTGGAACCAGACTTCCTGGGTGGAAATCGAGATTCTGCACTCATAGCTGTGTGGCCTCAGGCAAATTTCCGGCCTTCTTGTTGCCTCTGTTTTGGTATTGGTAAAAGGAGAGCATAATGGTACCCTCTTGAAACGTTATTGTGAGGATTAAAATCAGTTAATTTATGTGCATTGTTTAGAATAGGGCCTATCACATGACAACTGTTCAGTAAGGGAGCTGTAGTAGTAATGGTAAGTGGTTGTAGTTGTTGTGTGGTTGTGTGGTTGTTGTCATTAAAGGAACTATATAGGTGGCGCGTCGGCGTGCCTGGCAGGTGGAGGAGTGATGGGGGATGTTGGGAGGGGAGTAGATCGGGAGACAGGGAGACCTGCTGGGAACTCCTGGGGTTGTCCACGTGAGCTGTGATAAAAGCCTTAACCAAGGGTGTGCCGTGGGAACAGAGAGGAGGGGATAGATTTGAGGGGGCATTTAGAGGTAGGATTCGATAGGGTTTAGAGACTGCTGACATGGGGATTGAGGGAGAAGGAAAAGGCTGGGTCGGCTCTGTAATGGGTGGGGTTTGGTTGCCTGGGACGATGGCAGAACCTTCCCAGTGGCAGGGAGCCCAAGTGGAGAGGTTAAGGTCAAGTACAAGGTGCAGGATATGCAAAGTGAGTGTTCCAGGGCCACAGTGTTTGACTACAATGATATTATTAGTTTTAGCAATGATATTATGTTGTGAAGTTCATTGCCCCTTAAATAATAGCAAACCCACACTTTAAATTAAATTAAAACATGTTTCGTTTGATTCTTCTGAGCAGACCCACACATGCATTCTCTGCTAGTTATTACTGAGAATGACTAAGAATTATAATTGAGCTGAAAATAATCTCCCGCCCATACTTGCTGGTTGGTTTCTAAGTATTGCTTGGGCTTAAAGTAATGAAACAAAGTTGTGCTCTTTCCAAATGTTAATTTTGAAGACAGCAGCTGGTAGCCATCTGGTACACCATTAGCATTTTACAATATTTGATTAGCACTCTATATAGTTTGGGGAAGCCTGCCAGTGGAATCTGCCCATCAGATTGGGGGCTTCAGTGGTATGTCCTCTCCGGGGCCACTTGAAAGTCTTTGCCCCATTGGATGGGGTTCCCCTCAGTGTGTTGGGCTGAAGCGCGGCTAGTCAGACTGGCAGGTTGATATTGGGGGCACCAGGACCTTGGGACCCCTGCCCAGTTTGCACCCTTCCTTAGAGCTGAGCCCCTCAGCTCGTTGTGCAGGAGGAATTTGGGAGATTGAGATTTTCCGATTAGTTCAGACGCTTTTGGTTGCAAGCGATGAAACAAACCCAAGCTGCTTTGGCAACTGGGATTGTCTTGGATCATTGAGAAGTCTAGGGGTGGGACTGCCTTCAGGTGTATGGTCTTAGAGCTCAGACGAGTTCTTCAGACTTAGGTTTTGCTCAGATTCCCAGCTCTGCCTTCTGCTGTGGCTTCAGTCTCAGGCTTCCAGGGGAGGCAAGATGGCTTCCCTGAGAGAGAACAAGTCCTCTCCGTACGTACGTATCAGGTCTAGACAGAAAGAACTGAGTCCTTTCCAGTCACTCCTGCAGAGGTGTTGAGATTCACTCAGGTCCCATCATGTGCCCATCTGTGAACTAATCCCTGTGACCCCTGGATGCGGGCCTCTGATTGGTCAGGCTTGGAGTGGGGCTCCACCCAGACCTTGTGGGCTGAGACCTGGCCAAGAGCAGATCACCAGCTGCACATCCGGGGCTGTTACCAGAAGGGAGGATGGGTGGTGGGGGGCAGATAACCACCTGCCCACCCCAGGGTCAGAGCTAGAGCCCAGAATACCATGAGCAATTGGCAAACTTAGCTGTGGAGACAGACATTTATTGTTGCCAGGAAGATAACATGCTGCAAAAGGAGGGAAGGAGCCTCTGAAATTAATGCTGTTCAGTGTGTTTCTTTTCTTAGTTTCAGGACCTCTGATAGATTTAGAATTCCGGTTCTTCCTTTTTTTATTTTTGAGGGAGAGGGGTTGTTTTTTTATTTTTATTTTCAAATGTTACTTTAAAACTAAGGCCAGTCACTTAATCTTGGTCTTTTGGCTCCTTCATTTGGAACATAGTGAGCTTCTCTGTCACAGAGGGGAAATCTGTACAGAAAAGATAGCAGATTCCATTCAGTCCAGTTCAATAAACAGGGCACCAAGCGCTGGGGCCTGGGCCAGGCTCCACAGGCCTGGCAGCGGATGAATCCCTGGCAGCGTGGGAAGCACTGTGTCAGCTCCATAAACAGGGCACTGCCGGCCCCCGGGAAGGACAGTCAGGAAGGGCTTCCCAGAGGAAGTGACAATGAGCTGGACCTGTAAGGATAAACATGAGTTCCTCACATGGAGAGCAGAAGGGTGTGCCATGCCCAGGGAGCTGCATGCGCAAAGGCACCGAGAGGTGGCTTACTTGCCGTTTTGGGGGCTGGGAGAAGGTCTTCGTGGCCGACTGTGGGATGAGCCCAGGCATCGGTCCGGAGGAGACTGGGAAGTGACAGGCTGGAAGCAGGGACACCAGGGAAGATGCCGTGGCAGAGGTCCTTGTGGGAGCCCACAGGGCAGTGAGCATAAAGGAGGAGACAGTTATGGACTGGGAGATACTTACTGGAACCTTAACAGATCCTTATGTTCTAGAATCTACTGTTGGGAAAAAGTACCTGTGCTCTTAATTGAGTTTCCTACTTTGAAAAATAGGGGGCCAGATCAGAGTTGCGCGTTCTTTGGAAAGAGCCATTATAAATATGAAGCATGCAAGTATGGGTTCTGCAGACACATGGGAGTACATGACATACGATTCTTCTATGTAAAACTCAGGGAAACGCAAACTCATCTGTAGTGACAGAGAGCAGAGGTTGCTTTGGGGCGGCAGGGTGGCGAGGGCAGGAGGGAGGGGTCACAGTGACTCAAGGACACGTGGGGTGGAGATGTTCACTCTAGTGATTGTGATGATGGTTTCTTAGTTGTGTATGTATGTCAACACTTACCAAATTGTACACTTTAAATATGTGATTGTATGTTAACCACATTGAAATCAAGCTTTAAAAATTAAAAAAAAAATCTGGGCTCTGGAACCCATCTGGGTTCACATCACAGCTCTATCCTTACCAGCCGTGTGACCTTGGGCAGGTTGTCAGACCTCTCTGCGCTGATTTTTTTCATGTGTGCATTAATCACATGTAAAGCATATAGGACAGAACAAAAGTTCATTATTATTCCTGTTTATAACGCACAGTAAAATGAAATCGTGCAGAGCGCTCCAGGGTTGTGTTTCTCAGACATTAACGTCCATGTGAATCTCCTGGGCATCCGATTACAGTGCGGGTTCTGTCTAGTCAGTCCGGGGTGGGGCTTGAGACTCTACATTTCTAACACGCTTTCAGATGATGTGGATGCTATTGGCTGCGCTTTGAGTAGCGAGGTTCGGACCTTGGGCACCCTGCCCGCTGTTGTTTGAGGTTAGATGTTTTCTCAGCAATTTTAATGCAGGCTTTTCCTGCTTGTATCCTCTGCTCTGCCTGCCAGTGATACCTCCTTACCCGCTACCTGAGGTTGGGGTCCAGAAAGAAGATGCTAGGATGAGGCTGAACATCTCACTTTTGTTCCTTGCTGGCCTGCTCTGGGCTGAGACTTCTGCAAGATTGAATGCCCAGTCCACTGCGCAGAGCACTGGAACCTGGGGGCCAGGGCTGAGAGTCACGGCCTGATGCCTGAGGAGTGACGCTCTGTGTTTTCCAGGGACAGACGGTCTGCAGATGGCCCCACTCCCGGGGGCAGAGCTGGTCCAGAGGCCCCTGCAGCTCTACCGATACCTGCTGCGCTGTTGCCGGCAGCTGCCCACCAAGGGCATGCAGGAGCATTACAAACACGCTGTCAGGCAGGTGGGAGCAGGGTGTTCTGGGGCTGGGGTTGGGGGTGCTTCCTGTAACACAGGGCCTATTATGGAGTCAGGAGCCAGGGGCAGGGGCAGGGGCAGGGGCAGGGGCAGGGGCAGGGGCAGGGGCAGGGATGGTCTTTCAGGGGGCAGTTCAGTAAGAGCCACCAGAAATCAGTGCTGGGCAGCCCAGCTCTTCCCTTGGATTTTGTTCAGGAAACAGAGGATGGATGCATCATCCGGCCCCAGCTCTGTGCCAGGCCTTGAATTAGGCAGCTGGATGGATAGTTGAAACGGTGTGGGACATATCATCATTTTGACAGGTGTTTCTGTCATCCAAGCTCACCTGAATTTAACCACGAGAAAACGTCAATAAACCCAGACCAAGGGGCCATCTACCGCACAACTGGCCTGTTCTTGTCATCACGTCAATGTCACGAAACACAAAGAAAGGCGCAAGGACCACTCTGTTTTAAAGGGGACTGAAGAGATGTGATTGCTGAATGTAACCCATGATCCCAGATTCGATCCTGAACCAGAAGAGAGCAATTATTGTAAAGGATATTATTGGGGAAATTCATGAAATTGGAACATGGGCTATAAATTAGAGAGACACAGCTGCACTGTATCAATGTTACATTTTCTGAATTCGATTACTGTGGTTGTCAAGAGAATGCCTTGTTGTTAGGAAATGCACACCTAAGTGTTGGTTAAGAGCTTGTCTGCAACTTTTAAATGCTCCTGAAACTTTTAAACAAACACAGGTAAAGAGAAGGGTGAAGCAAATGTGGCAAAATGTTAACAGTCGGTGATTCTGAAGGCAAATTGTTTTGTTCTTGGCAGCTTTTCTATAGGTTAGAAATTACTTACAAATAAAAAGTGAAAAACTAAAATGAATACACATATAATATGGAAAGTAAAAAGATAGAGGAAGCAACAGAGGGATGTGGAAATATGGAGAAGGGAGCAGGTATTGCCTGAGGGAGTCAAGGAGGACTTCCTGGAGGTGAGCACTTGAGGTGAGTGCTCCTAAAGACAGGAAGGGGGAGGTGTGCAGTCCAGAGTAACAGGGAAGAAGAGGTGTCTGTACTTTTGCAAGGCCCTGAGTGCCCTGTGTGAACCTAAACTTCAGGCTGCTTCTCCAGTGTGCACATCTTGTCAAAAGCCAGCAGCAGCCTGGGCTCTGCACTGGACCTGGCTGGATTTCCCCAGACCACCCTCTCCACAGCCCCTGCCTTCTCTACGGCTTTCCAGCATGGGCCAGGAGAAGCCCCATTCTTCCCCACTGTGAAGCCAAGCAGAAATCTCGCCCTAGTGAAAGCAGTTTCTTGGCAGGAGCAAATGAAACACAGGGATGGAAGTTTCCATTAGGCCTTCTACTGACCACCCCTTCCCTCTGCCTGATAACCTTTGGGCCCAGCCTGATTTAGGGGTAACGTGGGGCCATTCTTCCTTCTCACAACTGTCCTGTTGGCAGGAGTATGCAGTCAGTTAGACCAGGATTCAAATGCTGACATCATTGCTTAGCAGCAGGTTAAGACTTCCGAGCCTCTGTGTCCTCATCTCTAGGTGGAATCCCAGCTCTCCAGGGAGGGGTGAGTGAGATGCTGAATGTAAAGCGCCCGCAGTGTGCCTGGCCTGGGACTGGTGCTCTGGAGCTGCTGGGCCTGTGGATTTTGCCGTCATATTTTTTTTATGCTTAAACTTTCAGAGTTTCCGGGTTCATTCAGATGAAGACAATCCTGAGAGAATCCAGCAGATCATTAAAAGAGCCATTGAAGATGCCGACTGGATCATGAACAAAGTAAGCACTGGGCTCTGACACCGTGAGCTGTAATCTCCGTGGCCAACAGGGGTCGCCTCTGCTCCACCGTTGAGAATAATCCAGCTGCTCCCAGCCTCTGGGAGCCAAAATGTCCTGGATGGCAGATGCCCTTCTGATTGCATTGGTGTGTGTGTTGGAGGAGGGGGGACGCACCCTTAATTCCTAAGAGCAAATTTTTGCCTAGCGGTACTGAATACGCCGAGATGGGGCAGCAGGAAGAAGGAAGAGAGCAGTCTCACTGGAAGCAGTGGTGACAAAGCAAGAGAGAACTGTTTGGGGCAGGGGGTGGCGGGGAGGTAGTGAGCTCCCTGTCTCTGTAAGTATCCACACTGAGGCAGGGTTATTAAGGAAACATTAAAGTGTCTGTTTTGGCGGAGAAAGGGAGGGAGTCAGGAATACAGACCAGCTTGCTGGTCCTGACACTTTGGCGTTAGAAAACCTAGAGAGCTGGAACATGCCCCACTTCCTGTTCTTCTCAGTCAGAATCTGCAGATACTGGGTCCAGGATTCATTTCTTAAAACTCCGATTGGGCTAGATGGCTTCTGAGGTTCCCCCTCTACCTGAGGTGGTTTTCCCCCCAAACAAGATTCCTCTTAAATGGAACGATGGGCATGCCACTACGTTTAATTCTAACTCCCCAGTGTCTGTCTTAGCCTTCCTCCCAACCCCGTTCCCAGTAGAGAAGAAAGGGGGGAACCCGGCACCAACTAGAGATTCCACCACCTTCAAGAGGCCCCTGCAGGGGACGCCTGCGGCCTAGATGGCCACAGTTCTCAGGATGTCCCTGGTCCTCCCTCTCCCATCGCTTCCCTCACCCACTTCTAATGATCTCTGTCCTGCAGTATAAAAAACAAAACTGAGGCTCAGAGTGGAGCTGTCCTGAAGACTTCACTGCTCCTGGAACTAATCAGCAGCAGCAGTTCCGGACCATCCATCGGTCTCGTTGGTGAGAGAGCAGGAACTCAGCAGCAGAAGAAGCTGACATTTGCTCAGATGTCTCTTCTCGCCATGTTCGTGTCTCCAGTGACCTTTATCTTTGCTTTTCCAGCTGGTGTGATGTGAGATTTGGGGAGAATGTGTTTCTTCACTTTGCTGTGGAAGTGATTCATTTATTCTGGACGTCATTCTTTGAGACCCGGAGCGGGTGTCCCCTCGGATGGCAGCCTGTGTAGAGGACAGGGCATGGATTTCAGAACCAGACAGAGCTGGATTTGAATCCCAGCTCAGTGGATTTTCAAGGGTGTTGACTTTGAGCTCCGTTTCCTCCCTTGTGAGAATTAAATAAGATGAAGCCAAAGAGCCCATCACTGGACACATCCCTCTGAGGAAGCCGTCCTCCCCACTCCCTCCTCCGCTCCCGCAGTGCTCCACGCACCTCTCTCCAGCCCACTCCCCGTCGTGTCTTATTTGTCTGTGGACTTGGCCTGTCCCTGCTTGTTGCCCTCCCCACCTTCCCCTGGGCACCTGAGCCCTCACAGTCCCACTGTGCCCAGCACCCTGCCAAGCACCCGCGCTCCCAGACACTGTCCCTCCCTGCCCGGAGACGCAGAGCCCAGGTCTCTGCCTTCCTGGAGTTTACAGAGCCCCGGAGGAGTGGAGTGCAGCCTGTGTGAACCAAGAAGAAACACCAACGTGTAGCAGCGACGTGGTTAGGCTTCTGTGAACCTGCGATCTGTCTCGACTGTCCCTTCCTCCCTTTGCCACCATCTTGGAAGCAGGGGAGGGAGGAAGCCAGCAAACAGTCGTGTGGGTTCCTGTGAGCCAGAAATTGGTGGAGAAAGACAGACCTGGGTCACATCGCCATGCCACTCAAGTTGTAACTCACCTCGCCTCTTTCAGCCTGGCTTTCATCTGTCCAGCGGAGTAATGACCGTACCTGGCTCGAGGGCCAAGGAGAGGAGTAACGCATGCCGAGTACTCATCCAGCTAAACTGCTAGGGAGCCCTGCTTTGCAGGTAGAAGATGGAAGCTCAGAGAGGTTGAGCCCTTTTTCAGGGTCACAGAGCTAGTTCTCAGGGCCGGGGTTTGGGAGAGCAGTGTCCCTTGCCTGTGACTGGCTCCTGGGGGTGGTCCCATGACCTTCCATTCACTGTCAGTGCCAATCCAGGTTTGCTGACTCTCCCAGGAGGCAGGCAGTGGGTGTCCAGCCCTGGTGAGGGGTGTCCAGGAGGGCACTGGCAAGGGGGACGGCTTCGTTAATAGTGTGTTGGCAGCTCTCCGCCAGCCCCGGTGATGTCAGAGGGGACAGTGAGCACGGTCACTGGAGGCAGGCGCCCGGAAGCGCAGGTGGAGGCAACAAGGTAGGGGAGGCAGGAAACCATGGCAGGGCGCAGAGGTGGTCAGAGCCAAGAGCCGGTCTGAGGGTGGGGGGGGCACGGTGTGAAGCATGGGGGAGCCTCTCCCATCCTCAGTAGCCTTCCTGAGCTGTGTTCCCAGACTTCCACCCTCAGGCCTGCCTCGTTTGCCTGGGTGGGTGGGCTTTAAATCACCCAGGGTCGGGGCCCTTACATGCATCCAACTGAAGGCTTACGGAGTCGCCTCCAAGCAGATGAGAAGGAGACGAAGGCTCGCTCATCCACAGTCAGGCAGTGTGAGCGCCAGAGCCAGGCACCCGAGTTGAGATCCCAGGTCTATCACTCAGTAGTGACTTTGGGCGAGTTCCTTAGGTGTCACCCTCACTTTCCTCACATGCAGCTGACCGCACATCCCATGGAGTGGTGATGTTGGGGCCATGAGCACAGATAGGCAGTCAGGCAATCGCTTTCTCCCTTGTCTTTGCTTCACCCACTCATGAACCTTCTCTTTAGGCGGGCCTCTCCTCTGCTCCCTCGTGTCCACTGTACAGGCACAGTGCCCGCAGGAGGGCATCTGATGTCTGTGGTCTGCACCCTGGCTGGTGCTTGTTTGCGCTCTCACTGCCGTGCTGGCATGCGTGTCCATGGTGGAAGTTCTAGGTCAATTTGCGCAGTGATATGCAGCTGCTATCCAAGGGCGTCAGGCCTGCCCGAGGGAACCTGTCACGTCTGGAGGCCTATCCCTGGGGTAATGCTGCCTTGAGTCCTGCCACCACCAGTTGCCCCCCGGACAGAGCCTGTCCTGCTGAACACGAGTTCCTTTCTCTCCCTTGTGCTTCTGTCTTCCCGACTGGCGGAAGGACTTGAGATTCCCCCATTCAGCTCATATGGGTGGACCCGTGGTAAGGAGAAAAGACAAAAGAAGGAATTCATCTCCTTTGTCTTTAGAATAAAAATATTTTATAGATACCAAGTAGCCTATTGAGATGCCATATTTAAAAGAAAGATGGTGCCCTGGCCATGTGGGTCAGTGGGTTGCAGTGCTGTCCTGTACACCAAAAGTTTGCAGATTGAATTCCTGGTCAGGGCACAGACCTGGGTTGTGAGTTTGATCCCTGGTTGGGCATATATGGAAGGTAACTGATGTTTCTCTCTCTCTCTCTCTCTGCCCCCTTCCTCTCTCTCCAGATGGCACAGGTTCTTAAAAAGCTACATGCTTGTTTCTGACTTAAAAAGTGAACGAGCTGTTACCAGAGAGCCCTGGGCTCATATCCCGACCTGGGCACTAGCTAGTTGTGAGAACTTAGGCAAGTTACTGTACTTTCCTGAGCCTCAGTTTCCTCATCTGTAAAATGGGAGAGGTGCGGGGGTCGGGGAGGCAGTAATCCTTTCTCCACAGGGTTGTTTAGAAATAGTCACATTGTAACACAAACAGCCTGCAAGTTGAAGATCCCCTCTCCTCCTCTTCTCTTTCTTTTCTGTTGCTCCTTTCACTTATTCGTCCCCTCCCAGACCCGCTGGCCCGGTCCAAGCTTTAGGCCTGCCAGAGGGGACTCCAGGACAGAGCTCACAGCAGCCTTCCTTCATCAGCACCTGGCACCCACTCGCCACCCCCTCCCAGAGAAACGGAACTCCTGGAGGTGCGCCTGTGGGTCTCCCTTTCATCCTCCTTATCAAGCCAGGGTGATGACAGCGAGTGGGCCCGAGACCTGTACCGGTGCTGTCCCTGCCCTTTGCACTGGAATGTAGTCAGGGCTCGCTGACCACGCTCTCCGGTTGTTGCAGTCGGGGAACTCAAGACATCCTGGCCTTACCCACCTTGAGCTGCTTTCCCAATATGGCAAGTACTTTCGGGTGCTTACTTTTATACAGGGAAGCATGGAATATCAGACTATGTATTTAGTGAGAATGTGGAGGGATGTGGATATTGCATCTTAGGGGCCATTTGCTACGTCAAAGACCAATAATACAGCTTTTCAGCAAGAAGCCTAACTTAAAAAGCTCGGGAAAGGCCTCAGAGTGATGCGCCTCTGTGGGGCCACGAGACAAGCTGGTGTGGGGATGAAAGAGGGAAATCTTTCCTGGAAATGATGCCAATTGACTGGAATATTTTCATCCCACCCATGTTCCCAAAGGCCCCAAGGGCTCCTCTGTTGGGGGATCCCCATGGGGATTGTACCAGGAGTTAGGGAATCGGGCAGGGGCCAGGACTTCCTAATTGTTTTTCTCTAAATAGAGGGGAGCACCACCTGGAAGCCATTTGTTTAATAAATTAATTTTCTTTTTCTTTTTTATTTTATTTATTTATTTTTAGAGAGGGGAAGGGGAGTAGAAAGAGAGGGAGAGAAATATCAATGTGTGGTTGCCTCATGTGCCCCTTACTGGGGGCCTGGCCTGCAACCCAGGCATTTACCCTGACTGGGAATTGAACTGACAACCCTTTGGTTCACAGGCTGGCACTCAATCCGCTGAGCCATACTAGCCAGGGAAAATAATAAATTAATTGTCTAATTCATTAGTTCATTTAGCTAATGAATAATTGTTAGGCAAACTTATTTAGTTATAGGCTAGGTAAGATGTTTGCATGGTTCAAACATTCAGAAGGTACCCTGTCAAAGTCTCCGGCCCACTTCCCAGCTGCGGGTTCCCCTCTCTGGAGGGAAGTGATGCTGCTGTTAGTTGGGTCTCCTCCCGGAGGTACACTGTGCACAGAAAAGCTGTGCTCACTGTTTTCCTGAGCCTGGTTTGTTTGCCTTTTAAACTCACACACACAATAGTCACTTATAAAGTCAGCTGTGAAACTTGAATTTTTTAACTTAATAATATATCTTGGAATTCTTTTAAAAATGCATAAAAGGCTTCATTATTCTTTTTTTTTTAATGGTTCATTTTAGTCCAGTGCATGGAGGCAGCACAGTTTTTTTCAATAATCTCCTATTGGGAAAAGGGGAAGGGTTTACAGGAACAAGTATAAAGGACACATGGACAAAAACTAGGGGGGGGGTGGAAATGGGAGGGAGGTGGGGAGGGCTGGGTGGGTGGGCTGGGATGGGAGTAAAAGATAGAAAACTGTACTTGAACAACAATTAAAATAAAGTTAAAAAAATAATTTCCTATTGAGAGGCATGTGGTTGGTTTCCATTCTTCTGCTGCTGTAGACAACAGCGCAGTGAATAACCCAGTACAAATGTCACTCCACGCATGGCCGAGTCCGTCTGTACAATGAGTTCCTAGAAGGGAACTGCTGGGTGGAGGTATATACATTTGTTGCTTTACATAGAAGTTGCATCAATTTACACTTCCACCAGCAAACATGTAAGAGTGTTTTCAACATATGAACATAATTTGTTAAGTGTTTTCAACATGTGAACATGTGTACATCCATGTACACTGGGTGGCTAAAGAGGTGGAACCAGCCTTCAATGTCTTCCCTTTGCTCTTGAAGTAAGAGCAGCTCCCTGTTGGCCTTGCGTGACCCAGCCTGTGCGCTCCCTGCTCACACCAGGCTGTGCTGCCTGCCTCTCTCCTTGCCCGACTCCCTAACCGGGTGCACCCATCTCTCTTAGTTCCCCAGACATGCCAAGCTCCCTCCCCTCACAGGGTCTCTGTACACGAAGTGCCAGATGCCTAGAAGGCTCTTTCTCCCCTGTCCTCATGTAGTTACCGCTTTTTTAAAAAAGATTTATTTATTTTTAGGGAGGAAAGGGAAGGAGAGAGAGAGAGAGAGAGAGAGAGAGAGAGAGAGAGAGAGAGAGAGAGAGAGAGAGGGAGAGAAACATCAATGTGTGGTTGCTGGGGTCCATGGCCTGTAATCCAGGCATGTGCCCTGACTGAGAATCAAACCTGCGATGTTTGGTTTGCAGCCCGCACTCAATCCGCTGAGCTATGCCAGCCAGGACAGTTACTGCTTTTTATCTTCAGCTCTCAGCTCTGTCACCCATCCTCCAGGGCACCCTTGCCTCACCTCCGTGACTAATTCTCTGTGACTAGGCTACAAGCTCCCCAGCACCATACTTCTTCAAGACTCAGAAGCTATTATCCATTTCATTTCTGTAATTATTTAATGTCACTCTTTCTGGTGGTCTTTGAGCCCCATAAAGGCAGGGACCGTGTCTGTTTTTCTCTCTGTTGCATCTCTAGAGCCCAGGACTCTGCCGGCACCTAGTAGGCACTCAGTAAATGTGTCTTGTTTGATTTTATTCAGTAAGATCAACGACTGTTTGCTAGGTATCAGTTATGTATAGGAATTGCCTGGGCACCAGGGAGACATGAGTGAATAGAACAAGAAGAAATTCCTGCTCTTGGGGTGCTTAACATTCTGATAGTGGCCGGGGGAAGGAGAGTACGGTCGACAGACAGGTAAACTAGTAAATATATGTCAGATTGTGATACATGTTATCACATGTATGAAACATGTATCACATGTTATACATATTATGAAAACAAACAAAGCAGGATAAGCAGTAGCACAAGATAGGGTTGGGAGAGCCATTTTAAATAGAGTCTTCATGGAAGGGCTCTTAAATAAGGTGATCTTGGAGCAGAGACCTGGATAAAGAGAAGGAGTGAGCTCTGTGGCTATTTGGGAGGAGAGCATTTCAGACTGAGGGAATGGCAAGAACAAGGCCCAGAGGCAGGCCCATAACAGGCGTGTTAGAGCAATAGCTAGAAGACCAGTATGGCTGGAATTAGGAAGCGAGAGGAAGTGAATGATGAATGAATGAATGAATGACCCAAGACGCTGACACATGGTGGAAAAGTACAATTTACAGGGGAAAAACTCTAATGTTAAAATAGGTAAGGCTGTTCAACAAATGGTACTGGGACAAGCAGACATCTACACACAAATGACTGGACCTTGATCTGTATGAATCACCATCTACAAAATTTAATCAAAATGGATCATAAACCATAATGTGAAACCTAAAACTGTAGAACTTCTAGAAAAAAAATAAGAGAGCATCTTTGTGGTCTTGATTTAGGCAAAGGCTTTTTTAGATACAACGCCAAAAGTATGATCTGTAAAAGGCAACACTTGTAAATTGGACTTCTTTAAGGTCATAGACTCAGAAAAAATAATTGCAAGGTACATAACCGATGAATGACTTATATGCTTGTACAAAGAACTATCAAAATCTAAAAATAAGAAAGCAAACCACTCAATAGAAAGGGCAGAAGACTTGAACAGATGCTCCACCAATGAAGATACATGGGTAGCCAAAAATACAGATGGCAAGATATAAGGATAAGCACATGAAAAGATGCTCAGTATCATTAGTCGTTAGTGAAATGCAAGTTAAAACCACCACTGTTTAGAATGCCTGAAAGAAGAAGTGCTGATAACATCAGGCGAAGACTGGAATGCAGAGTAACTGGAACCCTTATACATTGCCACTGGTGGGGATGCAAAAATGCTACAGCCACTTTAGAAATGTTGGCAGTTTTTTGTAAAGTTAGCACACATCTACCCCATGACCCAGAAATCTCACTCCTGGAGAAGTGAAAACCTTACAGTCACACAAAACCTGTATGTGAATGTTTATAGCTATGTTATTTGTAATGGCCCCAAACTGTAGACAGCCTAAATGTCCCTTGATTAAAGAATACAGACAAGCTGTGGCACACCCATACAAGAAACGGACTGCTGTGCATATAGCAACATGGATGAATGTCGATGCCTTCTGCTGAGAGACAGTAGCCAGACTCAGACAGCTGCACACTCTGATTCCATTTATTTGGCGTTTTGGAAAAGGCAAAACTATAGGGGCTAGAAAATAGATCAGTGGTTGCCAAACACCTCTGAGATCAAAATCTGAGCCACATGATCTCTCTGAGCTTCTATTTCTTCATCTGTAAAATGAGGGTGATTTTTCCTACCTCCTGAGGGTGTTGTGAGCGCTTGATGCCATAATATGTAAACGAGCTAGAAAGCCCTCCGTGCTCAGGAAGTGTTCGTTTTCTCTCCCTCCCCTTCCTCTGCTTTGGGCAGGTCACTCTTACAGGTGGCTAATCTCACCTGTGAAGTGCTGATCCACTAGAGGGGCCTCACCCGCGCATTCTGGAGGCACCTTGCTTGCCCTCTGGATCCGACTGCTGCCACTGGTGTGTTTTGACTGTGACCTGAGTGGTGATTCCAGCCTGAATCCAACCTGGGGTTCAGACACGTCTGAAGACCCAGTGGGATGGCTTTCCAAAACCCTGTTTGCATGAAGGAGGGGACCTTCCTGAGACTCTGTTCTACGTAAAGAAGGCGGTGACAGCCATTGGTAAGAAGAAGCTCTTGAGAATGACTGAGGCAGGGAAAGAGGGTGGTGACTCTGAGGGCCTCTCCCTTAAATGTTTATACCTGCGTGGGCTCCCATGGACAGTTTAGACACTTCCTCTCAGAGGATGCAAGACGAAGAGGCGCTCTCTTCTTCTTCGCTCCAGAAAACCCTGCAACTTGAGTATTTCCAGGGCTCCTGGGTCTTGGCTGTGACAGGAGATGGTGGTGTCTGGTGGCCAGGGTCGTACTCTGTAACAACTCTGTGGAGAAGCTGGGACTCAGCAGGAGAGCACTCACCCAAGTGCACTCGTGAAACACTTCCCGGAAACTCTCAGAAGAACATGAGTGTAAGGAACAGGGTTAGGGAATTTTGAGCTGTTAATGGGCACCCTCTGTGTCCACAGGCTGGTAATGGGGTCTCTCTCTGCTTCTCCCTACCTTTCCTTCTGATGGTTGTCATGTCATGTCCACAGAAGGCTGTGATCCTTCTAGTGTGTGCAGGCATTTGAAAATAAGCCCAAAGTTTTTTTATAATAAAGATTGTATTTATTTATTTTTAGAGGGAGGGGAAAGGAGGGAGAAAGAAAGGAAGAGAAACATCAATGTGTGGTTGACTCTTGTGCACCCCCTACTGGGGACCTGTAACCCAGGCATATGCCCTGACTGGGAATTGAACCTGCAACCCTTTGGTTGGCAGGCCAGTGCTCAATCCACTGAGCCACACCAGCCAGGGCCCAAAGGTCTTTATTAATAGGAATTTGTCACTGGACATCCATTTAGCATCTACTGAACACACACCAAAGACATAACTCTACTACACTCTAGTGGGAGGCACCTGTCCCTGGGGTCACATCTTATTGGGGGAGGTCACACACATGAAACAACTTTACAATAATTATGGTACAGTATTATATTTGTTCTCATACAGGGTACTATGGCAATAGACTCTAGATATGGGAATTGTTTGTAACCTATATTACCTGCAACTGTTCTTTCCCTGGATGTCCACTAAAATCACCTGGAGGGAGG